GGGAGATCGAGCCAGGGGGTGGAGGGGGGGTGGAGGAGACAGGGGGAACCGGCGGGATGGGGGGGGAACGTACCTTCTCCTCCTGCTTCCTCCTCTTCCTCATAGGTGTGGAGCTCCCTCCCTCCCCCCCTCCCGCGAGTATCACGGGTCCCGCCCCTTGTATATATATATATACACGCTCTGCAATTTGAACTCAAAGCAGCTTGCAACAATATTCTCTCAACCTCATTTCCTCCTCACAACAATCCTCCTGTGAGGCAGGTTAGGCTGAGAGTGACTGGCCCAAGGTCACCCAGGGACCTTCCATGGCAGAGTGTGGCAATTTGAACCTGGCTCCCCCAGATTGTAGTCCGGTGCTCTAACTCTTACACGTGTTGCCTCTCCATAGTTCCCCCTAGAGATGACTTATTGGGTGCAACATGACCCCCTTCTACAAAGAGATACCCAGTCCTGTGTAGATAAATGGACAGCTTGACCAAGGGAGAAGGAAAATTCAAATGCTGAAAATTGACTCTTTTTTTTGGGGGGGGGGGAAGACTTCCCATGAATTAGATTGCAGAAGGATAAGCATTACAGAGCAGGTAAAACTCTGCACCACCAAAAGGAGAAAGGGTGGTATTTTATCTTTGGTGCATGGAGCCTTTCACTTGCCCACGGCATCCAGCCCATCAGACGCTCTCTGTACGAATTTGGTTCCCCAGTTTCAAAATGTACATTCTCCTCCTCCTATTAGTGTTCCCAGTTATGAATCCTGCTGGCCTTAGGGCTCTTAGAAATGCAAGAAATGAAGTGTTAAGTCTGGCCAGGCTGTCTATCTTCTGGTTGGTCAACAAGGCATACAATTAAGTTTTGCAAACTAGCACCCCTTTCACTGACCCCCACGATGAAACAGACGCACACCCACAAAACACCTGGACACCCTAAACTTTCGCCACCTACACAAAGACATTCTTTGCCATCACACAACTGTAACCGTCTCACATTCCTGCACGGCGCACAAACACAACATACACATCCAGGCTAAGCAGAGAGTCGCCCTCATCTGTAAAGCCCAATGGCCACTCGTAAACACAGTCGCCTTTACAGATCACGTAGCGCATAACAACGCTGCACATGTGTGCTTCCCTGTACAGGAAATGTTGCGGTATCATGGCTCTCAAGGGCTCTGGAAGATGGGAGTTGCGCATCTGTGCAATTTGGAAGTCAGGAGAGGTGAATCCCATAAAAGATCCTGATTTGTTACACTGACGCTGACACCCTTAAAGCGCATGTCCTTCCACACACATCCTTTCAACACCACAGATAACATGCGGCAGTATGCACACATGAGCAGTTGGCCACAAGCCAAAAATAATGGCATTAAGAAAAAATTAGACAATTTAGAAAAATTGTGCATATTTCTCCTTTTGATGTTACAAAGTTTTACCCACTCTGCAATGCTTATTCCTCCACCAGTGTGCAGGTCCCAGTCACCTGAACTTTTGAAATGCAGAAAAACAAAGTTATTATTAATATCAGCCTAATATTGTCAAGAGCTGCGGTGGCTCAAGTAGTTAAGACGTTGAACTGCAGGCTGTGGAAGGTCGGTAGTTCAGCAGTTCTTGCACCACCAAGTGTGCTGCATGACGAAGTGAGCTCCCATCGCTAGTTCCAGCTCCTGCCAACCTAGCAGTTTGAAAGTAAGAAATTGCAAGTAGATAAATAGGTACCACTTTAGTTGGAAGGTAACAGCGTTCCGTGCACCTTGGTGTTTAGTCATGCCAGCCACATGACCACGGAAATGTCTTCGGACAGCGCTGGCTCTTCAGCTTTAAAACGGAGATGAGCACCGCAACCCTAGAGTCAGATTCGACTGGCTTTCGAGCAAGGGAACCTTTACCTAATATTGTCAATGTGCGTTGATCACTTGCCCACGGCCACCCAAGAAAGCCTTTGGTGGTGCAAGATTCAAATCCAGGCCCCAGACAGTGCCCTCTAACCACTGGTTCATACTGCTTGTTTCCATTCATGTTCTTGTGAGGGCATTTAAGCATGAGACCCAAGATACATCCTTGAGATATCTGCAATGTTCTGAAATTCTCATGAAAAATTCTCCTAATTTGTACTTGCCTGCAGAAATTCAAATTTTACATTCTAATTGGCATATATTAACTGTTGAGGTTAAGGTGTGCAGGGCAAAAAAACATACAAAAAGTGAGATGGCTCAGTTCCTCCTGCCGCAAAGTTAAAACCCCTAAGAACCATTCTCTTTTTAAGTAGCCCTTTGCAAGAGTAAAAGGGAAACATTTTCAAACTTTTGCTAATTTTAAAAGGACCCAACTAGAAACATATATACGTATGGATGCACGCACACCTCAAAGCCGCATGTCTTATCTCTGCCCCTGTACCAGACATCTGAACACCAAAGAGACTAAGATTTGGAAAATCCAGGTTCGAATCCCCACGCTGCCATAGAAGCTTGCTGGGTGACCTTGGGCCATTCACACATTCCCATTCTTACCTGCCACACAGGGTTGTCATGGTAAGGATAAAATCGAGGGCAGGAGAACAATGTAAAGCCACTCTGGGACCCTAACAGGGAGGAAAGTGGGCTATGAAGGAAGTAAATAAACAAATAAAAACCAAATGTTTGCACTTTGGGATCCACCCATGCTCAGAACTGGATTCAAATTCTACTTCAGTTGAGAGCTTTCATTTTGTAAAACTGGGAACGATACTTAAAAGGTAGTTGAGAGAGAGAGAGCGAAAACACAATGGCCCAGGGTCTAGCTAAAAATTTAGGCATCGCTGATTTCCCTGCGGCAACCACCGGGACCCAGTGAGTCGCCGTCGATTTAGGCCTCAGTGCCTCCAGCTGTGCTTCTTTTGTGACTAGCAGTTGCTGGTTGAAATCAAGATTTTGCAAAACAGGTGCTCTAGAAAATCCGTGAAGTCTCCCGGCACTTCAAACAGAAGACAGGTAGCCACATCATCAGAATGAGGATGCCAATAAATCGCTTAGTGCTTTGCGAAAGAACTGGGCACTGTTTAAGATTTTATTTTTTTTAAGTGCCATTTAAAAAGCCAGGGTTTGAAACCTTTCCCTGATGCCCTTTCGCCACTCTGCCACCAGCTAACTGCGTACTCAAGCAGACCAGGTTTATTCTAGGCAGGCCACACATCAGTCTCTAAAACGTATCTTGGTGCCAATGCTCCCCCTAAGCTGTGGAGTCTTGTGAGCAAAAATTCTACTTTGTGAGCTGCTGGCATTAAAGTTGTGATCGAGCTATTTAGCTACTGCATAGATTCGTTTGCTCTAGGGCCATCTTCCCTGAGCTAAGACAAAAATGTGTGCACCAGAGGCTAAAAAACTGTGAACTAGCTCACACTAACTCAGCTTAGAGGGAACACTGCTCGGCGCATAGGGGAGCAGAGCATGACCTTTGGATGCTTGCACTACCATCTACATGGCTCCCACGTTTAGGCAAGTCCACAAATGTCACACACCCCTTCCAACTTATGCTGTTCCCTATAATCCAGTTACCCCCACCCCTTCTAAATCAGGGAGCGGGGAGGACTAGAAACATCTCCCTTTTTTTGCATTGTATTTTCCCCTCCAGAGATTTCTCAAGAGGAGCATTTGTGTGTGTCTGTGCGTGTACGTATGAGATGGTGAGCGAGCGAAGGGGTACATTTAATTTCTCATCTGCTCTTTAGGGTTTTTTTGTGGGTTTTTTTAAGTACAGAGAGATAGAAGGAGAGACAGAGAGAGGGAGGGGGGAGAAGTCTGTTTTGCCTGCAAGGCAATATTTCTGGAGCCAATCGGAATGTAGCATCCACCCTTCCCTACTCTCTAATTAAAGGGTTTAAGCAAGCTGGCTGGGTAAGATTTCTTACACATTTTCCCTGGAGGAGGACAGGAGCAACAGCTATTACTGGAGCAATGACTGAGTAAGCCTACTCAGGAGGAGGAGGAGGAGGAGGAGAGTGTTTGCCCAAAGCCAGGAGCCACCGTGCCTACTGTGTTTAGTTTTCATTGCCGAACTGGTGGACCTTCCATTGGTGGGACGCCCCCCCTTCTCATCATGAGTGGATCCTTCGACAAGAAGATCACCAGCATCTTGACGGACATCTCCAGCTCCCTGAGTTGCCATGCGGCCACGAAGGACTCCCCTACCCTCCCCGAGTCGTCCATCACGGATCTGGGTTACTACAGCACCCCGCACAACCAGCACGAGTATTACCCCGCTCAACCTTATACCCAACCGATGAATCATTACGCGTACCACCCCCAGTTTAACCTGAATGGATTAGGGGGGACTGGGACCTACTCCCCCAAATCCGATTACCCCTACAGCACTTCTTACAGACAGTATGGATCTTTTCGGGACCAGCAGTTGCCCAGCCAAGAAGCAGGTAAGGACACTTTGTATGCTTGGCAAGCAGTCCTGAGGATGTGAGTCTGACTGGAAAGGAATGGAAGGAGCTGGGGGGTTTACGGGCCTTGAGAAACTCCTGCATTGTGGAACCTCTTTCCCCCCTTCTTCTCTTGGAGACAAGTGTTGAGGGAAGGGCGGCCTAGTATAGTTGGCTAACACCTGTGTGACTTTCTAGACAATACTGTTGAATTGAAAAGTTCCCTTTTGCTTGGATGCCCCCAGATACACACCCACACCATCTGGAGGCCCTGGGCCCCAGTTTGACCCTAACCATGAACCTCTAGAAAGGAATTCTATGTGTGCTCTCTGTCCCCCAAGCGCCATGCACTGAACTGGTGTATTTGTGCAATTCGCAAATCACTTGCCACATCGATATCATTATCCTTCCCTAACAAGGAACGGACAAATTGGGATTCAATTTAGGTGACACCTGTCCCCCCCGCCCTCCAAGCCGCAATTCACTGATTCTCAAAATGAAAATTAAGAATGAAAAACTCTAAATGTAGCTAAGGAAACACTGCCTTTCAGCCTTATTCCCCGGCTGTAAATAACACACGGGAAAAGTTGGTGTATAGACTGCGGCGCGGATAGCAAAGTCCATCACGGAGAACTCAAGAGTTATACAACATTTAGTTCTCTGTTAAGGGGTAACTCACAGGTTAAATTATAAATCCATTGGTCATGAGAGTTTCCGTTCTTGAGTGAGAGGAGATAAGGAGTTGGAGCTCCCCTTTCCCCCCTCATTACATTTCTTGGGTGAACACCAAAGAAGATTACTTTGAGAAATATATAGTTTAGCGAGAACAGAGTTTGTGAGATCACCGTGAGACGGGGAAAGCTCCAGTTTGCAAAAGATTGTGAACTCGTTTCTGTGTTTAGGTCTCAGCTTGTTCTTTACAAATCGTGTACCACTCAACTATTGTATGGGCGCCTAGAATTTCTTCTTTTGTTAAACAGAGGATTGGATTTTTGTTTGCAACAAACATCACGGCTAATTCTGTGCAAAAATGGCATGTTTTCTCCCCCTTCAAAAAATAAGCCTCGGTCTTGTTCCGTCTTTGCAAAGTTTCCAAATATTTATTATCAGTGAGTGGCTTCCCCCCCCCCACTCATGCAAACAGACTGCAGAACTTGCTATTTTCTTCTTGAAGTCTTGAGACATTAAAAATCCAAAACTGAGGCAGCAGAGCATTCCATTTCAGTTTTGTCAGTTTGA